GCCTGAGTTGGTGGTTCTTTAGGACTAGATTAGGCGGTTTAGGTCTGGAGTGTGTAATTAGGACTAGAACTAACTGGTTTAGGGTTAGGTTGGTCCATATAGGTCTGATGGTGTCTGGTTTAGGGCATAGTGGACTGGTTTAGGGTAGATTAGGGTCTGTAGTGATGGGTTTACCTTGTTAGGCTGGTCTAGTATCAAATTTGGCTTGGTTTAGTGAAATACACATAAAAAAGTAAAAAAAATACATATATACATATACATACATACAAATATATTTATATATACACACATACACATATATAAATACATATACATGTATACATGTATATATATAAAAACATATACAATGCATATATATATATATATGTATACAAAATAAAAAAAAATACATATATACATACATCGTCATATCTATATACAAATACAAATATAAATATATATACTCTTATGTATAAATATATCTATATATACATACAAAATAACAAATATACACATATATATTTGATGACGTTTAGCTGGGTAAGAGATCTGGGTAGACTAAAATAGGCTGGTATAGATCTGAGATTGACTGGTTTAGGTCGGTATAGATCTGTAAGGGTTGTTTTTGGGTCTCGGTTAGGTCTGGTTTAGCCAAATTTGGATTAGTCTAGCTTAGTCTAGGTCTGATCAGTAGGTAATTAAGTCAAAATAGGCTTGGTTAGGTCTGATTAGAGTTTAGAATGTCTATAGAGACATTGTCTAGGTCTGATCAGATTAGAATCTGATTGTAGACTTAGGTATTATCTAGGTTAGGACTAGATAGGACTCCTAAGTACCAGTTTTGAGTCATAGAGTCCGGTACATTGACCGGTTAGGTCTGATTAGTTGGGATTTGACTAAAACGGGTTGGTTTAGGGGTTGGTTATGTCTAGGATCACTAGGTATAGGTCTGTAGGGGTCGGTTTAGATCAGGGCAGGTCTGTAGGAGTTGGTTTTAGGCGTTTATAGGGTCTGATCAGATTAGAATTAGGTCAATTAGGCTTAGTTCAGGTCTGATTAGGGTGCTAAAAGTCTAATCAGGGGTTGGTAAGTCAATAGGGGTTGGCTTAGGTTTGATGATTACGACTTTTAGGTGATTGACTAGGACTTAGGGTCATCTAATCAGGGGTTGGTCGACTAGGGTTGGCTTAGGTCTGATTAGGGTCGTGTGATGGTCTAGACGGGACTTTTGATTGTCTAACTAGGGCTGTTAGGGTCTAGATAGCACTTGGGTAGGTCTGATTAGGACTTTGTGAGGGACCGGGTAGACTCAGGATCGTAGGACTGGTTAGGACTCTGTTGGGGGCCATGTAGACTCGGTGTTGTAGGTCTGATTAGACGTAATCAGATCTGTGTAGCCTTAAGTTAGGTCTGGTTAGACGTAATCAGGTCTTAAGGTAGGCTGTGTTTCGAGTCTAATAGGTCAGTTAGGCAAAATTATGTCTAGGGTAAGTCCAATCAGGTTTGTGCGAGAGTCTAGGAGGTCGGTTAGGTAGAAATATACCTTGTGTTAAGTCCAATCAGGTCTGGTCTAGAGTGTGTTAGATCCGTTTAGGTAAGATGTACCTAGGGAGAAGTCCGGTTAGACTTGGTTTAAGGTCCGCTAGATCGGTTTAGGTTGAGTGCCTAGGATAAGTCCGGTCAGGTCGTGTTCTCTAGGTCTTGTAGGTCTGATTAGGTAGACACGTACCTAGGTTTAGGACCGATAGACTAGGGTTGGAGCGTGTTTAAGCACGGCTAGGTAGAAACATACCTAGGGTTAAGTCCTCTAGGGTTCGGTCTCATCCCTCGTGTCATGTTACATCACTTCTAGGGTCGGGTAAGTCACTTCCGGGTTGAGTC